AAGAAAGCATACCTGAAATACGAAATTGGAGGAGTAGTTTGATCCAACAATGGCAGAGTGTTGAAATAGAGGGGCTTCAAACGCGAATGGCAATCAGCTTATTTGAGACCAAGAGAAAATATGCTATAATGCCCAGCATCTTTAATCCCGCAGTTAAAAATATTCTTAGCCCAAACCACGAATATATTTCTCAGCTTGTTAACACCTGGGATGCATCTCCATCTAACTTAGTGCTGTCCCCCCGATCTCCATTAACATGGTGTGCTATTACCTTGTGCAAATATGTCTCCGGCGCACAAGGTCATTGTGCCGGCTGCATGATCTCTGTTGCTAACTTCAGCTTAGCCGTCAGGTTCACGCGCGCATTCTTCGGACTGCGCAAGCCGTAGCTCTCGATGACGGTCGCCCACTGGTGGAATCAGCTGACGCCATCTTGTCACCGGTGTTCAGTTGTGACTCCGCCCTGGGTGACTCGGCCCGGCTCCTGACTCACCTTCACCTGACACTCCTCCATCTGGCGCGAGAGCTCTCATCAGCGGCGTCCCGTTGTGACTCGGCCCGGCTCCTGACTCACCTCCCCCTTGATACTCCTCCATCTGGCGCGAGAGCTCTCGTCAGCGGCGTCCCCTTGTGACCCGGCCCTGACTCACCTTCGACTGACACTCCTCCATCTGGCAGGAGAGCTTCCTTCAGCGGCGTCCCCTTGTGACTCGGCCCGGCTCCTGACTCACCTCCCCCTTGACACTCCTCCATCTGGCGCGAGAGCTCTCGTCAGTGGCGTCGGCTGCGCCTCGTCTGCGTTCGATGCGGGAATCGCGAAAGTTTTGAGCAGCGGCTCAGCAGGCTTCACAGAGCATACGCGGGCCGACCGCCCGCTCGCTGAAGTTGGCACCCGAGCAGGCCAAGTTACATCATTAGAAAAGCCCATATCGGCAGAGATGCTTCTTAATTAAGAAAAACTTGATGAAATTGTTTTGGCGTCATCACACCGCGTTCATCACACGTCTGGAAGTTTCCACATTCCTTGGTAAATAGCAACATGCTCAATGACCAGTTGTAGCCGGAGTAGCGAGAAGGCAGATTTTCAACATTCTTAGCGACCGAACAGATAAACGCTGCAGATCAGTTATTACCTGTGATTTTAAAAATCATTTAAACTCTCGTAAATCTGGTTTATTGGCGAAAATACCATCATGTTGCAATGATATTAGACATTCAAAACGAAGTGACAGCATGCCGAGAACAAATCGCCCAATACTGCTTTGTTCAGGAGCTCCCCATGGTCATGGCATGGAAACTTCTTATGCTTCTAGACAGCCTCATGAATGTTGTTGCAGGATTTAACTGACGTAGAACGCTGTCATGTACTTTATTCAATTTATTGGACCAATCATAGCGCGTGTTAAGTCGCGAAAAACGGATATCGCAGCACGAGACATTAATGTTGAGCTTTCCAGCTTCGCAATATTGTGAGCCCATGGTAAGCACTGGTAGAAGACCGAACACTCTAATAACACATTTTCAGAGAGAGCATGGGGACGTCACACGGAAGAGAATGGAGTAAAGGATCTGCTCCATACACGTCTTGGCACGTTTCTGGGCTCCTGTGCAACGAGCATGGCTGGCCAGTTGCGTTCATGCGCTTCTGGCAGAGACTGTGGTGCCCTGACATCACCGAGCGAGCTGTCGCAGCTGGTGCAGTGGTGTGGCAGCTTCAGCGTCTGCTCGCCGCTCCGCAGGTACGCCACTTTGGTTGCTGCTGCACCTGGCGCCTATTCGCAACGAGAAGGAGGTTGTCGTGCTGTTCCTGCTGACGCTGCGCGACATTACCGCTCTAAAGCAGCCCATCGAGGCCGATGACAGTAGAGGTACGGAACGCCCCCCCCCCCCCCCCCCACGTCACGCACGGTGTCACCAGATGTCGACACGGCCCATAGGCTCCGATTAGATCAGCGGTGACGGCTGGTGAGCTCGCGCAGCCGTCTGGAAGCTGCCTTAACTGCACAGCTGACCGGAATGCAGTACGTCGCTTAAGAACACCCGTGACCCGCTGGATGCGGAGTGTTAAAGTTACCTCAACTACGGTGCGGGGTGCAGGGTTGCACACATAGCGTGCTGCGTGCGGGCGTGGTCTCGTGCGGCCCGCCAGAGCGCCAGCCCGTTTGGCCCCGATGACCCCGCCGCTGACCCCGCCGCGCCATCCCGCAGCAGGTCTGAGCAAGTTCGCCAAGCTGGCCCGCTCGGTGACCCGGTCAAGGACGGTGCTCGCTTCCCAGTTCTCCTCCAACGTGGCTGGCGTCAAGGAGAACGGCAAGCAGTCCAACATTGCTCACGTGAGTGCTGGCCCAGTACGGCGGCATGGCCTGGAACGATAGCGGGCTGGGTGCATGCAGAACAGCACACTCTGGCGGACTATGATGCGGTTACTCATGCATAGACCTATCGTTTGATGTGTTTTACAGAGATGTGTTCGGAGACATCATCCCTTGGTCGGCATTTCGATGTTAGTGCAGTTATTTACTGTTTCACTGTTGGAGACCAGCGCGACAATGTGGATCCTAAACAGCCTCAATCACTATGAACGTCGCTTGAACAATTTTTGCTGTTGCCATGAATGCATCTGTTGTTTGACAGCTGGAGCCAAAATGCTTGCCGTTTGCGTTCGGTGATGACATTCTATCCTCAACAGCTCAGCGTCGACTGGTCCACAGCACATGAATATGGTCGGTCATTTCATGAAGGCATGGTGAAATATCCATGTCATCTGCACGCCGTGATACCAGATACAGACCCAGAGTACGCGAGCCCTACTACGCAACCGCAAGCTTCAGGAGCGTGTGCTCCGCGCTAATTCAGGCCGGCTGCTTGTCAGGTTATGAGTCCCGATGGCGATTTGCGCCCGGCAATGGTCCTTTATGCGGAACTTGCAGAGTAGGTTGCATGCTATATAGCCCTCGGTTTGGAGAGTTGGGCTGTTAAACCGTGCTTAGCTCGTCGGATGCCGTTTATGCGGCGGCCGCACGTCGCACAGTCGCCAGGTCATCAGCCGACTTCCCACGAAACGGCCGGACGAATCGGCCGCGACTGGATGGCTGGCCGCTCCCCAGAACCGTCACCAGGCCTCTGGTTCCGGCTGTCGGCTCAGATATTTGTGGCGGAGGGCCGGCCGCCGCCACGCTGTAGCGGTCCGGCTTGTCAGGAGTCTTTCCGTCCGCCCCTGATGGCGAGCACGTGACGTCACCTGTGCAGGGGGTCGATGACGGGTCGCGTGAGCCCGGCTTCGTGAGGGTTCGACCATATACGTCGCCACCGATGATTACCCCGCTCCCAATGCCGTCCCGCAGCCACGGCCTTCCCCGCTCGTAACACGGAACGGTCTGGCTCGCCCACGGGCGTGGACTAAGTTCAGGAGTGTGCGTCAGAGTCTGAGCCCAAGTCCGGCTATCCTGTGATGGGATCCGAGTAGTCAGTCTTCTCCTGTTACGTCAGGGGTGGTAAAAATGTACTTTTTGCCGCGGACCAAATTTGGGGAGGAAAAATGTCGCCAGCAGCGTAATACGACACCATATGCTAAAATGGTCTTCAAGTCTATGCATAATAGCGTGTCAGCAATTAACCTATCATCGAAAGTCTCTTTCATCACTGCAATTTCAATAAAGTGCACATAACGCAAACGTTCAGCCACACACTGCCCTTGAATAAATGTCAGGATAAGTGCTGCTGCTAGGAAAGCAGGCACACCTTCTCTAGACTAATGAGATCACATAGCCCAATCACAACAAGAGCTGTCTTTCACCCTCGGGACTTGCCGGGGCCTCACGTTTAAAATCAGTCTACGGCTGGATTTGCTTTCTTCGGCCGCAATAAAAAAACAACGAAGGACCTCGATAGCCAGGGCAGCAGAATGTATGCAGATTTCGAACCAGTAGCAAGTGGCACTGAACGTGACGTCTAATATGGGGTCTCCACGAGGCCATTTCCCGTTTTGAAAATAACGTGTGCGCTTCAAGCTCCATCTCAACCGTCATCAAACTATGCACCATACCTTAGGAATACTCCCAGCCTGGCCTGACATGTTTTGACTGGTGGGCGCCTTTCGCCGTGCTCCAAGTAAATTGCATCGGAATGTCTTAATAACTTCACATCAGGAGAATATCTCTTTCTGAACAAGTTACTTGCCCTGATAGGAGGGCAGAGGGTGGGTGATGCGACCCCCCTCCCCTTATGGTTTTCTGAGAAGACCAATGCGGCATATTGTGCAGTCTTGCTCAAATATTTGGAAGCCTCTGAGGCATCCATTGTGCGCGTGTTGGCATCAAAAGTGTCCCATCAAATTCACAGTTCTGTGAACGGGAAGAAGGCTGGTCGCTTGTGACTGCTCCAGTGAGTCAACAGCCTTTTCGGTGTCTTGAAATGTGGGTTTGACAATCACAGGTCAATTTCTATCTTGATCGGATCATTCCGCCCACTTACTCTGAACTGTCAATGCCTCTCATCGCTGAGGGCAGGATACTGAATCATGGCAAAGTAAACGAAGAAAACAAAGCCAGAAATTAAACTCTAGGCTGGTATTCATGGCATTGCAATGGAAATGCCGCTTGCAAAGTTGCAGTGCATTGAAAGTCACCGCCCACCTCGTACCAGTCGCGTCGCAACAATTGGAACACGCCCTTGCGGCCAGATGAATCCCATCTCTGGATCTTTTTTGGTACTTTATACTGTCTAGTTTCGGGACACTGAGTCTGCTGTTAAAAACAGCAAATTGGTCGACCGGCCGGGCCATAGGGAATACACTGATTTGTTGCCGACCTGTCACCGAGTCGGCCGACCAACTAAAAATCACAGGACATTTTTTTGTCGCCAGGTTGGAATGAAACCTAGGAAAGATATCAGGGTATCGTAGAGTACGATAGAGAGTCTTTACAGAGATGTTTGCTTGTGTTGTGTGACGAAATTTAGTACTATGGAGGCACAGTATCTATGTATGGAAACCTCATGATATTTTGCACAGTGTGCTGTATCTTATCGTCTTGACCGTCACCAAAAATTGCCGTCCAAAACCATTTTTGGCACCAAGCCCTCCGTGAATACATGCATTTCTGTCGCCGACCTTATCCACCAAATCGGCAGGTTTTACTACCCCTGCATTACGTAAGGTGAACGCCATTTGGAGTCTGTGTGCGGTCATTTTTTACGGCTCGTAAATCAGAGTCTAAATCCGGATCCTCGGATGTTGAAAGCGAGTTCAAGGCCGAGGTCAACCTCAAGGCGTAAAGTTCCTTTTCCAGTTGGGGGGTTGGCGGAGGGGGGTTGGGAGGCAGGATTGTGCCCAGGGGTGAGGAAAGTGCCCTTTCTGTTATCGACGAAACTTGGAACCGTCTAAATTGTCACTTGGAGCCGACTCCTTCACAAACCGTTGCAATATAACTATAAATTTAAGAAACCATAAAGCAAATACAAATTTATGCAATGGGGCATACCCGTCGAACATTTTTGTTTTGAGAGTTTACTTGCATTCAAGTATCATTCACAGGCCATAAAACACGGAATGACGGTTGAGACTCAACTAATAAAATTATCAGATTGAGGCATATTTAACATAACCAGTTAGCCGGCGAGTAGTTTCCTATTCAGATGGAAGGAGGGCTAACCATGGATAAAGCTTACTATTGTTAGCTATCATTTAAGTATTATTCTTCATTCATCGAAAATTTAAAGTTTAGGCCCCCAAGCTAATTTTGAGAAACTACACCTCTGTCTCCAACTGTGAAAGGAAAGAGCGTAAGATCTGTGGAGGGAGCTGCTTTGAGTGCATTTTGGATGCAGACTCAGTTATTTTTACCTTGTCCCCGCCGCAAAACTGCATCCCTATAGCCTTATATTTTTCGACAGCATGGTTCTTCAAGCACTGACAACAATATCACCCTCGGTTTCGTGGCATTATCGCACATTCAGCTAAGCGCGCAGGCGACATTCACTATCTTCGCGCAATTATTACTGGTGCGAAACTTACACCTCCTAACACGATCTCAATCAGTTAGAGCCAAACCCATGCAATATTGGTGTCAACATATTCGAAACACATTTTTAAGCAGCCCTACCGCCTCCATTCAGCTTGATATATAACATGATGAAAAGATTAAGCGTTTTATGTAACGCCTGTCTACTGATCAGTACGCTAAGCCAGAGGTGCAGCGGACAATGTGAGAGGCCTACAACAGTGATGCCCAGTCTCCTTCCTCAAAGCTGCTTTTACTCTCAGGAGCAGCAAGCTCGGATGAATCTTTGGCATGTGTCGCTCCAATGTTCTCCGTTTACCTCTGAAACTACAGCTCAGATCCAAGCAAAAAACAACAACAACAACAATCCTCCAAGATCGGCAGGACTACTTAACACCAGTACATCAAAAGGCTGCCGATAAACTACGTCCTTTTAGCCAGCCGGCTTCCCAAATGAACACAACTAACAGCAGGCCACAGCCTTGCGCTGAATCCAACGCGTCACCGTGTGGCGACTGTTCGAACCCATCTGTCTCAAATGGCGCGACGCTTTAAAACGCTGCGTGGCAAACTGATAACGTTCGCCGCGAGATGCTGCCGCCAGCTACGATCATTTCAACTAGAAAGAAGCTTAGTTATTTGGTATTTTATACTGTTTACCATGTGAAGTGAATCTTGACTGAATAAAATCAGTGAAAGGCACTGCTCTGAGAGCATTGGAAAAATGCTGTGTCACTGCCGACCTGTGACGTCAGCACTGATAAAGCATGTTTTGCAGTACACTTCTGGCACTTGCTAACAACTATTATGATTAAAGCTATTATGTTTCGCAGCATCTTACGGCTTAATTTGCCACTACAGTGAAACGTCAACGTTTTGACATTTGTTCCACACATGTTCACGCTGCAAATATTAACGAGCACAGACCGATGCTGAGCTTCGGGTTCCGTTTAGCTGGGATAGTCAGTTGTACTGTGGTCTTGTCTACTGAAATTTGTTTGTTTTTTCAGTTTTGTCACCAACTGGTTCAAAAAGTGTCATTTTTTGTCACCGATCATATCCGGTGAATCAAAAGCTTTTTCACCGCTGACTGTGCCTCTCAACCAGGGATGCAGTTTCCTATTTTAGTTATCATTTTATCCATCTTTTTTCATTTATCATGATTTGGGGTTCAGTCCGCTAAAATCAGATTTTGAGAAATTACATCTCTGCTGCGAGCTGCGAAAAATTGCGTCGAATCTGGGGAGAAAACTGTTTTCAGCGCATTTCGGTGGCAGACTCAAACATTCTTTCTTCCTGCGTATACCTCCCTTTCATCCCTCCATCCACGCATTTTTGCAAAACTGCATCCCTGTGGCTCTACCTTTAACGGTAACATGGTTTTACAAGCACATGAAATAATATTGCTGTTGGTTTTGTGACATCATTGTACAATCAACTGCAGGCGTTGGCGACGCCGAATCATCTGAAAGCGTGTCACTCCAACGGCCTCCGTTGAATGCAACCAACATCAGACCACAGCCTCCCACTGAACCCAACGCATTACCGCGTGGTGAGCAATCAAGCCCATCGGTCTCAAATGGTACGACGGCTTAAAACGCTGCGTAGCAAGTTGGGAAATGTTTTATGAATCAACTTACCCATATAGCAAATATATATACATGCATATATATATATATATATATATATGAATAAAATCACTGAATAAAGTTATATATGTTATATATGATATATATATACACATATATGTATATATATATATATATATATATATATATATATATATATATATATATATATATATGCATAGTTGATATGTGTTACCCACACATAGTTTCGATACGTGCTCACGCTTGCAGCATGAGCACAGTACAAACCAATATCAAGCTTTGTGTTTTTGTCCAGCTGGGGTAATCTGTTTTAATCCGGCTTTGCTGATGAAATTTGTGTTCAATTTCTCAATTTTGTCACCAAATGATTCACAAAAGTGTCAGCCTTTTCACCGATCATATCCGTTGGGTCAGAAGTTTTTCACCTCTGTACCCAAGCTTGATTGAGCCTTACCAAGAAGCCCGAATTTAACCTGAACCATCGTAGCGAACGGAATTCAATAAGTACGGAGGTGCTCAAAGATATTACATATACCGGACTTTCGCAGCCTGTGTTTTGTTATTAACATGAGCCGTTCAACCATGGCTGAAAATTGGCTGATAATCAATACTCTGTCAGAGCCTCGGATTGCTGGAATCGTTGGGACTGGGACTGAGTAAAAATCCGAGCCGCGGGTCTTCAGTCCGAGTTGACATTCTTCTTCGTTCCGAATCCCGAAACGGCACGGGTTTAGTCGGAACTTGAGTCAGGCTGGGATCAGACTCACGCCTGCCCGCTTGTAACATGGAACGCGCCAACCCGCTTGTAGCGCAGAACGGCCGGTGCTATTCCCGGCACGAAACGACCCGTCCCGCTCGTACAATAGCATGTCTGTTCTGCTCGTAACGCAAAGCAGCCCACCCAGCTGGTTCCAGGGAACGGGCTCTTATACGGCTGCCTACACAGGAACGACACAGCGCCTGTCTCCTGTATTACTGATAACATGGGGCGAAACCCGTCGCCCCCTGCTTCTCCCGCATTGGAGACCTGATCAGGGCAGCTGTCTATTGTTCAATGCCTGCGTTCCCAAGTGTTTCCGTTGTGCACTGCCGTGAAGACATCCATTGAGCACAAATACGTTTTGATGCACACACCATGTGCAAATCAGCTCACACAGAGTGCCCTCAACAAACATGCAGTGGTCACAGACTATTTGGCCGCCTGCCAGGCGCATGGCTGCGACATGAGTCGAAAGGTCATTAACTTTCTTAGTCCCAACAAACACGTTCCGGGCCGCCTATAGGTGCGCGGATGACGGGCGTTGTGCAAGCTCATTGCGAGCTCATATAGTGTGACCACTTCTCCAAGTCCTTGCCGTCACCCTATGTATTTCACTCCATCCAGAACAAGGTCATGAAGGGTCAGAGTCACGCTTCCTGCGAGACGAGCATATGAGGAACCGGACCCACACCCCCAGCGCTCACGATGGTGTGTTGGATAATCAAATGAATACACGACTGAGATTCAGACGCGTTGTTAGTAAAATTCAATTGTAACATGGGTTTGTGACGCTTCTTACGCATGCCGCAAATAATGTAGTGTGTTTACCGATGAAGGAAATTTCCAGCCTGAAAGACGGGTTTTGAGCGCATACTTTGTATATGATGTCACTGTGGCAGAGTTGACCCCGACCCTTACAGACGCAGCCACGGCAGAGCTGTCGCCACCTGCTTCAGATGACGTCGCTGGATCAGAGCCGCCAACCTCACCTCTTGCCGATGATTCCCAACAGCGCGGGGCTGGCGTCTCCTGTTTCCGGCGGTGACGTCACACTAGAGCTGACTAGCCACCACTGACGTCACATTAGAGCTGACCAGCTATCACTAACGACGCCCGTTGCAGATGATGTCGCTCAACTCGGACGTGCTGCCGCAGTACCGCCAGGAGGCGCCCAAGACGCCGCCGCACATCCTCCTCCACTACTGTGCCTTCAAAGCCATCTGGGACTGGGCCATCCTCTGCCTCACCTTCTACACCGCCATCATGGTGCCATTCAACGTGGCGTTCAAGAACAAGACGTCGGAGGACGTCAGCCTGCTTGTTGTTGACTCCATCGTGGACGTCATCTTCTTCATCGACATCGTGCTCAACTTTCACACGACGTTCGTCGGCCCCGGCGGCGAGGTGGTGAGCGACCCGAAGATCATCCGCATGAACTACCTCAAGTCGTGGTTCATCATCGACCTGCTCTCGTGTCTGCCTTACGACGTGTTCAACGCCTTCGATCACGACGAAGACGTGAGTACAGCGTCATCGGCATCAGCATAACAAAAGTGCTCACTGATGACAATGGCCTCCTATGAAACCAAATCAGAGCTGTCTCATGGTTCATGAATCGTCGCGGCGTCCAATGCTGTTGCACGCCTTGAGCGACAACTTATGGAACTGTTTCGGTTACGCTTTCGAGGGCAAACAGCCACGGTTCAGTCATTTTCGAAATAGAATGCTTGTTTGACAACTGATTTCAAAACACCATTGCCATCTAATGATCCTCAAAATATTGGGCCACATTTGTCTGAATCGAAAATTCCTATGGATGGTATATCATGATTTATTATGATTATGCATTGGACCATGGTTGATGCACTAAATGTATTAAAATATGTAAGATGATGTTGATAAGATGATATTTGAACATGAATGATGTTGTCCACGGATTGCTGGCTGTTACGCCGGCCCGTTGAGACTGATGTCAGAGTGCCGGTTTCATGTCACAGCATGTGCAAGACGCAGTGTGTGAGTGCGGGATAAACAACTGGGGGATGGGGTGAGTTGGGGAGGAGGACATCGCACATGGCGTGTCGCATTTCCCCTGGAAGGATTATTATGAATTTTCGAGTGGAAGGGGGGGGGGATTTTGCCGGATGTGTTATTAATCCGAACGCTGCTTGGCTGGCAGGCTGGTTCAAAACTATGACACAGTTTGAACGGTTTTGGGTGGTGAGGTCAGGGCACACTCAACATGACGTTCTTAGAGAAGACTCTGATCCCAACGCTAAATGAGCAAATAATTTAGTTGGCTACATGTCCTGAACAATGAATGTTTCAATGACATTTAATCCAAGAACATAAATGTGATGAATGAACGTTTCATATTGCGTACTTCAAGACAATAATTACTGTAATTATGCTTATACGTAAAAAAATTAAATCTGCATTTGCTCTTTGGCTGTGTGCCAAATACAGTGAAGTTCTAAGTGCACATTGTGAATAGAGACACTTTTTAACAAACTGACGGGGGGAACGACTTCTGCTCACTGTTTTGCAGGAGGGGAACTTCTCCCAATTTTAGCGGAACCAGAATGCAGATTTTGCACCAATAGCAGTGGATGGTGTGTACGTTTGACTTAGTAGGCCTTATCGAAGATACGGAATGCACTTTTAACAGCTGTGATCGAATGCTTCACGAGAAGTATTCGCCAATACTCTTTATGACGGCAGAGACCAACAAATGCGGAGATGCTGCTCCACACGCGCTCGGGTGGGCATCAATTTTAGCTCTCTGAGGTTGTTTCGATTAATTTCCCAACCGCGCGGTGTAGCCGCGCCAATTTTTGTCTTGTTCTAGGATGCTGAACGGCCGATCTTGTGATATAAAAGTAAATATAACTCGTACGGTCGCTGACCTAGAGCAGATCAAAGTCGGGCCATGGCTGTCAGCGAGGACAGTTTCTAGGAAATCGTTCAATGTGATGAGATAACGGAGTGCTAAGTTAAGTCATGCAAGTCTGAGGTGTTTTTTTCAGAAAAATAAAAAGGCAATTGCAATCATGGCTACGATTAGTTATGTTGACCTTGGCGTGAGTACGACGGTCGCGCCAAGATCAGAAACAGACCACTTGATTTATGCTTTACTACTTGGCTGCCTTTGTCAGATAGTTTTAAACGTTCGTTTCGAACTCGTGGATCGCAATGACGTCAAAAGATTACCTCTTCCTACCTTATGAAATCAAGCGGTCTCTGGACTGAAATTATCTCGATCAACCTTTTGTTCTGAGGAGTATGCCGAGTAGGGCAGTACTGGTCACTGATTGTACATCCGAGCATGAAAATGATCCGCATGTTTTTTGGTCATTTTCCATTTTAAGAGTTCAGTAAGATCACTGACCTCATATGATCACCAGTAAGCTTTTAGTTATAAGCCGTGTGTACGCTAGACATAATTGTGTGAGGAGGTCTGAGGACGCTTGGGGCACCGATCTAGAGTTTGACATTGAAAGTACTTGACTCGAAAGTCACGACGTAGGAACCTCAAGTATTGAGACAAATAGGTACATATAACATGCCTACATACCCTATGAATTTTCGTGTCTCTAGCCCTGTTAGTTTTTTAGATCTCAGAGGATCTCCTATCTGAAATATTTGAGTTCTCGGTTTACTTCCCACCCAGGCGAGTTTTAACAGCCATTTTGGGTCGGACTACGGGACACAAGAGTAAGGCAAGCACTGGAGGAAACGCAACACAAATGATGACGCGTTTCCGTTGCAACATTGCAACATTAGATTGATTGTTGAAGTCTAAAATGTCCCGATACTAACACAAATCTAGCACAACGCCTCACCCTCTCCTGTCGCGATTAGGGCAAACTGTAAGCGCCCAGCCACTTGCCATGCGTTGCTCACGGACATGGCTGTCTTGACGGTGACAAAACAACGACTGATAACATCCACAGAGACGGTGGTCACGGCATAGGAGGCTGCATCGCTGGTCCTGTCCTCAGTTGTCAGCATTCTATTCTCGTGCGTTTTCATTTTCCATTTTTGTTCGAGGGCGGGGAAAGTTTTCAGACACAACTGAACGTCGCCAGCGGTGGGCGTCTGATTTAGGTTCCAACCACGAGTATGCTGTTCAAAATATGATACGTTTTTGTTTTCTGAGCGTTTGACTGGCAGGCAAGTGTTAAAGGGCAGACATATTGGGTCCCAGGATGGGATAGGATGGGCAGATCTTTCCGCCAGGAGTGAACGTGTCTTTTCTGTCACCAAATAAATTTGAAACCGCCTAAATTGTCACCTGGAACCAAATCTTTCAGAAACCATTGCAATACAACTCTAATGAAGATAAACAACAAAAGCAAGGACAAATTCAATGAAATGCAGCATAGCCACCAAACAATTTTGTTTCGGAAGTTTATGTGCACTAAATATCATTTACTGGCCATCAAATACTGAATGATGGTTGAAACTAGACTAATAAAGTCATCAGATAAAGGCTACCCAGCCCAGAGGCGTTTAGTTTCCTTTTTAGTTGGGGGGAGGGGGAATGTGCCTTGCAACCTGCGATGAAGGTCACTATTTTGAGTCAGCATCTTTGTCCATTATGTTTAATTATTCATAATATTAAGGTTTAGCCCTCGCCCCAACACTTATTTTTAGGTACTACACCACTACTCCCAACTGTGAAAAGAAGGTGCGTAAAATTTCGGGAGAAAAGGGATTCAAGTGCATTTCGGAGGAAGGTTCAGTCCTTTTTCTGCTGCACCCGCCTCCTCCTCCCTGTCTCCCCCCCCCCACGTAATTTGAAAAAGCTGCATCCATGTAGCCTTACATTTACCGATAAAATGGTTCCACAAGAAACCGGAGAGGTCACTTTGTGTTTGGGTCGTCATCGTGCAATCAGCTGAAAGCGTTGGTGACGTTCACTATTTTCGCATAGCCGTTGCCGGCAGGAGTGAGGGAATCTTCTGGTTTACCGGATATGATCTGTGACAAAAACCGATACCTTTTCTAACCAGCTGGTGACAAATTTCCGGAAATGAAAACAAGTTCCAACAGACATATCACCACATTTCCACATCACAACAGATTATCCCAGCTCGACGAAACTCAAAGCATAGTATTGGCCTGTACTCGCTCGCGCTTGTAGCGTGAACACATGCTGAAACGCTGACGTTTCGCTGCATGAGCAAGTTGAGCCATAAGATGCTGCCAAACAAAGTAGCTTTAATCAGGAAAAATTGTAGCAGGTGACAAAAGCATACTACAAATTAAGCTATGTCAGTGCTGACGTCACAGATCAGTGGTGACAATGTTTTTCTACTGATCCTCAGATCAGTGCTCTTTACAGATTTTTCGGCCAAGATACACTTCACATACCAAATAGTATAAAACACAAAATAACTAAGCTTATTACTAGTCGTAAGAATCGTGACTGGCCACGGAATCTTACGACGAACGTGATCAGCTTGCTACGCGGCGTTTCAAAACGTCGTCTCATTTGAGACCGATGGGCTTGATTGCTCACCACGCGGTCATGCGCTTGGTTCAGTGCAAGAGTGTGAGCTGATGTTGGTTGTGTTCATGTCGTGCGAAACTGATTGGCCAAAAGGACGTAGCTAATCGTCAGTTTTTAAGGTAATAACCTTAAAAAGCCCAGCCCATCCAGGAGCTTTCCTGTTTGTGGACACCTGAGCCATAGCATCAGAGGAGTTTGTTGGAGCGACACATGTCAATGATTCACCCGGGGCTTCCTGCTACTGGGAGGAATAGCAGCTTTAACACGCGCTCGGGTGAACGGGTCGATCTGACCCCCTCCCCCCAAAGGTTTTTCCGGAATGGTATCCGAACGGCGCGGCGCAGCCGCGCCAATTTTTGCATAGCTGTAGACAATTGAATAGCGGATCTTTTGGCATTAAAAGTTTAGGTGTTCTTTGTAAGGTCGCTAACCTATGGCAGGTCAAACTCAGGCCATGGTCTCAGCGAAGCCAATTTCTAGGAAATCGCTCAATCGGACGCGGCAACGGAGTGTTAGACGAAGCCATACATCTCTGAGATGCTTTCTTAGGCGCCACAAATATTTAATGAGCAAATTACGTTTACTTAAGGTCAGGAATAAATGTCAGACCAAGGCCAAAACCAACCTGTTTTAATACTCAATGGTCTGCTGTACGAGATAGTTTCTGGTGCTCATTTCGAATTTGTTGATGGCGGGAACCGTATTATACATCTTCCATGGACTTTTTAGAGGTCAGAATAGGTGATTGACCTAAAATGACCGAAAACAACATTTTGTTTTTAGAAACATACCGCCTAGCGTAATCTTTGTCGCTTATTCAAATGCAAAACTCACAGCGGTCTCGCAGGATTTTGGTCATCATGACCTTCAAAAGGTCAAACAAGGTCACTGACGTTACATGAGCATGTGACCTTATACTTCGAAGCAGTTAAAAGGTTCTGGGGACGCTTTGGGGACCAACCCGGAATTTGACCTTGTTTGACCTTATTTGACCCAAAGGCCATGGCCTAGGAACTGTAAACTTTGGCCTCAGTGAAGAAATATATGCTGATATATCTGTAAATCAGTTTTTCCTGTTTTGTGCAAATTGCTGTGATCGTGCTTCTTGCAATGCACAATGTTCACGTGTCTCAGGTCCACTAGTAAAGATTATCATACAACACTACCTATGCGATAGATTTGGCGGTGCTGACTATGCAACTTTTGTGTTTCAAGTGTTACGGCTTGTGCTGTGGCTATAAAGCCTAAGTCCCTTATAGGTTGCTTTTCCAACGGAGTCCATCCTCCTCCTCGCCCTCAAAGCCGTCTCGCGCCCACCATGGCTCGTGACATTCGCCATCCATATGCAGAGCACCGGCATTTTTTCAGTTCGTCTCAAAAGCGCAGTTTTCACCCATAATCCGTTTCTTGATTCGAACTAAGCGGGATCGAGCTATCGACCGTTAATCCGACGCAAAGCCGGTTTCGCCCATGTAAACGCACCTTGGCGAGAGGTTAACGTCGCATGATCCGTTCCTGTCTTAATTCGAATTGCCCTCGGCTGCCCATGTAAGCCGGGTAAATCTGTTCGGAGTGCGTAGGTACTATGCGTAACATTTCCAGTCGGTGCTAACAAGGACCATAGCCCGTGTCGCAAATCCTGGCAGTCCACACTCTCAAATTCTAGCTACGCCACTGGTCATAGGAATTGACAAGTCCCGAGCCCTCCACTTCAATACATGTTTAGCCAAATGGCCCAAGTCAAAGAGACATTTGTGAAATCATGAGTGGAATACACTGAATATATGAAATCGGATATGGCCCTTGTGCTATAGGGATAATTTTGAGTGAAGTTGGATTGGAATGTGAAAACGGATAATTTCGAACAAATTGCATGCAGAAACAAACTGGATCAGCCCGGATTCAGCCATTTCGGGAAAAGGCAAATTGCAAATGAATAGTATCATAGCCTTCACGGCCCAAATCGGACCGAATTCCGAAACTCCGATCCTTGAAGACCTCGACGCGGCAGCCCGTGCGACCGAGCTGCGGCGGGGCGGGGACAGCGCGGCCCGCGTCAGCCGGTCGGGGTCGCGGGGTTCGATCGAGCCTCGGGGAGACACCGCCGGCTGGCCGCGGAGCACCGCCGATGCTGGAGTCTTGGGTCTGGTCCGGCCGAGGTCAGCCGACGGGCGCCGGCCGGTCCGAGTATCGACTCTCGACGGGGACCGAGCTGCCCAGTCGCCTGCGGAGACCACTCCTGGCGGGTCCAGAGAGGGACGCGACGCCGTCCATTGCGCATACTCGTTGATGGGGTGGGACACGTGTACCGCGCACGCAGCGAATACTCCAGCTTATACCGGCGCTTCCATGCGACGCGATTCCCCGGCGGACCGTGCTGTTCTGTCGGCCGGCGGTCCCCCCGCCCGGCAACCGGCGCTCGGTGACGTCACTGGGGCCACTGTCTGGCCCGGCGGCAGGCGTCGCTCCCTCGCCCGGTCACGTGATCGGGGTCTTCCCGAGGTGAGGCCGGACCGCATAGCTGACCTTTGATTGGCACGGAATAAACCGCGTCACGTTCTTTCACGCCCCGCCCCGCATGCCTGATCTGCCCTTTGAGCGGGGCAGCACGCGGCTTGGGCGCCAGGACGTAAGTTAAAGGGAGTGCTCCACATTTGGATGAGGTTTTGAACTGAAATAGCCATCGTGGAGGTCATATGTTGCAGTTTACAGCCCTGACCTTTTTTAGGTCTAAACCCGTCTAGTTTCAGAGCTACACGCCTGCGAAGATGTGCAGATTATTTCTTGGAAACTATTTGAAGGTCACCTTGGCATCCATAACTCCATAAAAATGTAATTTAATTTCTGCTGTTCTATTGGTCATCGGCCGTTCAAGGCCAAGATCAATATAATGCCCAAACGCTCACATTTGGCGTTCGTGAGTATCATATTCAGACATAACTGCCGTTAGTTGGCTCTCAATCGATGTTGTGCAAGATACGATGACGTTATCGAACAATGTCGTATTGAGGAGCATATTTACTAAGCAGATATATTGTGTTGCTGAGCGCAGTCCTTTTCACTTGAAAGTATACCTAAAGTTAAAATTGAGCTTATTACGTCATGTCTGATGCTTACTGGAGTATCTTCAAATGTGGAACATTCCCTTTAAAACGCGTCAATTTACAGCTGGTTGAGAACCCGACCGAC